CGTTATTGATTTTATACCAACATTAGGAAAATGTTGAATATTTTCTTTTTAGATTGGAATATCGATTTTATTCTAATTTCATATAACATTACCTTATCTAAATACTGTAATTTTACAGCTAGCACAATATTTGGTTTTAAAGTAATAAAACGAGGCAAGCTAATCGATATTTTGAACATTATTTGTGCCGTTATAACACGGTTTTTTTGGCCTCATTTATCTCGTACATTTTTCATTAGGGTAAGAATGGGATTCTACTTAACAGGAATGAACCAAAATCAATTATCAATTGACGATTTCGAGGCGGAATTCTAGGAAGTTCCATGTCTTTGACAGGCAGGACATGGCGGGCTTTGTCCCATGGATGTCACGCGGCTAGTTGCGTCACATGAACTGACTTCGCTTTTAAACTGCAGGGAAAATGTAGAAATTTGAGAGGAAATGCTTAGAAGAGATATTACGGGTTGACTCAATTTAATTGCTGTATGTTAAATTTCACCTCTTTTAGACTAATAAGAGGGATTATGTAAGCTGTTTCGAATTGCAAGACGTGTTTGGCATTTTGCCACCTTAAATGTTACATCAAGGGAATAAGCTGGGTGATGTTAAAAGAAGGAGTAAGGTATTCCTAAAAAAGAAAAAAGACAGTATGATTGAAAAAGACGAGAATCATTGTCACGATCTTATTTTCCAAAATTACATTGTTTAATTTTGTGGACATACCGCTTATACGGATATGAGGCAGAAAACTCGCTTCCAAATTTTCTATGTTAATTCCATTCAAAATATGGGCCGTTGACCGGAATACACCTTAGTCATGCGGGTTGACATCGGGGGTAAAAAGATCGAGTTTCTGTTGACGCTTTGCTTTAGTGTGAATATCCATGTCTGAGAAGTACGGGATGCAAGATTTTGGCTTGATTAAAACGTTACTGTTTATGTTTTTGAGTTGATCAGTCACGTTACAAGAAAAACTAAATCCATCACAACGAAAATATTATTTTCTTTCCGATAATCTACCTTTACATCTGTTGATCCAGATTCTGTAATAATGCTTAAAGTTGATAAACTTCAAATAGGTTGACTATTTCTATTGGTAATGGAGGTCATAAAATAAACAATGAAATAAAGGAATTCTGAAGTCGTTTACATGTCTTTATTAGGTCTATGAAACATCATGATTTTTCACCCTCCAGTAACCTTTAGACCGTTATTTATACTTGATCAGATCTTAGATAATGTTAAATTTGTTTAAGTTGGTTCCCTCATCCTTTCTCTAGCTCAAACGTCATTGCATATTAGAACAGACTTCCTCGCCTTGATTTTGCTTTGAATACGTTTTTTTCCCTTTACTACAAACTTTCCGTTTTGCCAGGTAGAGTTTAAGTCACTTATGCTGATTAGTATACACCGCTGACATTTCGTACATGTAACATACCAATATTCCAAATACTCCACTTGAACTAGCCAAATTTTGGTGTATTCTTTCGTGTGAAAATGGCAGGGAGAATAGGTTGTTCACAGTGAAATGCAGTTTTCCTTATGCAGAAAAAAATTGCATTTCAGTGGTTTGTCTGTTCATTCAGGAAGTTATCTAAGTGTAAAATCAAGAATTATATAGCACGTCCACAACTATAATCTTTGTAATTATCTAACAAATTAGGATTGTTTATCATTGTACTGAATGGGGTTTCTTTTGTTACGATATTTTGGTATTTATATAAAATGGTAAAATGATGAACCGATCTGACTGATAAAACAGCGGATAAAACAGACCGGAATGAACTGAAGCCTTGAAACTTAAATTTTTCTTAACTATTTCCCTATATTTCTGTTGTAAAAATTTTCCCAGTTATCCATGAAAACACTTAAACGCCGGTGACTTTGCTTTATCAGCAAACAGACTATAACTAAAATAATGTTTATTGTATAAGGATCTTCGTTTAATTGATCCACCTCAATGTCGAGTTTGTTTACTTACTGAACATTATATAATCCATTTAGTGCGAGATTTTTAACTTGCGATCTTTTAATTCAATTAATTTAGTATTAGTGCAATTAGTTGTGTATATTTTAAACTTTAGACCACAACCAATTTTCACCATCTTAGCAATTAGCAACAGCCGGAGAAAAAAAAAATCGTCGTAGAGACAATGGAAATTACGTTAGTGTACGCATCCGATTGTTGGAAACAGTGGCTTTTTAGCTAATGCGGAGTAAGGAGTGTTGGGATTGGGTCCCCAAGTCAATTAAAGGACGACTCTGTAAACACAGCCAACTCCACTTTCCTCTCTTCCCTTTTTTACCACCCCTCGCCATTTGTTCTGGGAAACTTTTATTCCCTTATATTTCATCCTCCCTATTTAACCAAATTTTTATCTCCTGTTTTTTCTTCTTTGTTTTAATCACCCGTCGCCTGGTCTCACATCAACACTTTGATTATACTTGGACTAACAATGAGAAAGAAAATAAGTTCCGTGAATTTTAGCTCTTTGAATTTATTAAATAAATGAAACGTTTTGGTCTTACGTGAAAGAACTTTAACTGACAAAGATGGTTGTATTTTACTCAAACGTTACACAACTGCAGGAGGATAATGCGCGCTTTGTGTGACTTAACATCATCTATTAGATTTGTCATTCTATGGCAAGAACAATTAACCTGTTAGGAATCAACGGATGAATTATTTATATTACTAACCAAATTTTTACCCTCCGTACATTTTAATATTCAAAATTTTCGCAAACCAGGCGAAATTATGTTGATATTTTATTGTATCCTATATCTGGCCACAAATCGGCCACAAAATACAAAATCGTAAACACAAGTGGAAGATTTTATCCGTGTTTTATTGACCTATAATCCTTTCAATCGGGCAAAATATTGTTGGATGATAATCAATGATTTGCTATTAGGTAATTAAAAATAATAAGGGTTGCCACTTTTTTGGCCTCTCAGTATAATACCTTGCTGTAAAAAAATTAATTTAAATGAATCCATCGTTTTAAAACACCAAAAATTAATACATCTAGTCATCTACAGTCCATCGAAAACATCAAAATTAGGAATTACAGTAAAGTAAGTATCATCCCTTTCGTTTCATTTATAAGCGGCAGGTTTCATCCCCCGGTCGGTTTTATTCGTTCAATTAAATAGCCGAGAAGGCTACAATTATTTAGTTTTGTGTGGAGGGTTGCAGCTGGCCCAAAACGGGGGATGGTTTACAGGTGCCTAACCACCTGCTTCCTTGCTCAACGCGACCCAAATCCTTTAACCATATATCAACGCGTACTGCTGCTCAGAAAGGTTCCGGTTCCGGTAAAAGTCATATCCGACTAAAAAGGAGGTCTCTTAAGACAAACTATTTTCCCTTTGGGAAAGATTTTTTGTCTAAACGTATTAAAAGTCTGTCTGATTGTTTGCTAAATTGTTTCATAGTCTCTAACCGTCTAGGTCTCTTGACATTCTCTGTCGCTCTGACAAATTCGTTATAATTTTCCAATGTCTCACACTTTCTTCAGTTTTAAATAAACATTACACTTATTAATAATATTAATTTTAACTAACTATAAATAAATGTCATTTTAAAATTGTTGTTTTTGTGATAATACCAAATTAGGTTTCCTAGAACATCGAAACTACGTACAAGCATAAAGTCATATTTTTGTGCCGACGGCGCTCGAATGTAAAAATATTTTCCCTTTTAAATTTTGGGTGATAATACTTATGATATGTAAATGAAAGGAACCTGAAATATTCAATACCCTTTCTAGGTTATTTTAATCGATTCATTGGTAGCAATGCAAACATATCACAAGGTATAACACATATTTTTTTGACAACGTGCAATTTTTGTTTTCTGCAGTGATTTGCAAATGCTGCCAACGTTTTGCCATCAATATTGAGTTGTACAATGCCGTTAATAGATTCACATCATAACCTAATTTTTTCATTTTGTTGCTGCAATCTTGGGCTGATTGCCAGAAAATGGAAAATGTACAAACACGCTCTGGTTTGAGCCAGGGAAATCTTTTCCATTTTTGTAAATCGAAAGTATGTTCAACAGTTCCTGGACATTAAAAAATTAAGTGCGATCATGGACCTATTTATTTTTTCTTTATTATTTTTAATTGAATTAAATCGTTTTGTAAAATTAGTTGTGTGTTAAGTACATGCTTCGAATTTCTTTATTTTTTTAAAACACCACTTTGCGACGCAATATAGATAATAACCAATATTTTAAGCATATATTATTAAAATTCCGTTTTTAGCATTACTCAAATGTACCAATTTAGTTACAATTTCTTCAAAATTACCATTAAATTTGCATTAGTTAATTGATTAAATAATTTATATTAACAAATTTGGTCGTTATCGATCATTCGTTCTGCCTGCCCTCGCTGGGTTGATCTGTGAGACAAGTTTCAGCAGTATGTTCGGTAATTTTGATTATCGACACACAAAGAACGGATAGTGTACCTCGCTTTTTTATGTAATTTGGTCGGTACCGTTCATCTTCACTTGCCTATCTTCGCTGAATTGATCTCTCAGATAGCCAAAACACTGTACATGGCGAAAAGCCGAAATGAGTCTGACGGACCAACTCAAGGAAGGTAAGAAACTAAAATTATTGGTAACGACCATATTTCGGCTTAATCACCTCGCCTACAACAAGGTGAATTCATTATTTCATTATTATTATTATTTCACATAATTGTTTCATAACCAAGAAAAGTTTTAAGTCATCCAAGAGATATTTCTTTTCCGTTTAATCATTTAAACCCCCCAGTTAACAACTTTTCTTCTTACTCCCCTAAGTTGTAAAAAAATGTGAACGTTACAGTAGTTTATGTTAATTATAAAAAAATAAATAAAAACGTTAAATATAATTTCAAATATATATGAATAAAAACATATTTTATCAGTTTAAAATTATGCGATTATTAGTAATAAATTTAACGTTAACCTTAAATAATTAATAATTATTTTGTTTCGTGCAGGTTTACAAAATTGGAAATATATTTTCAGTAATTGGTGAACCATGTCCACATGGATTTCTACTACGGGCCTGCCAAACTTCAGTCTGTAAGTACATAAATGGCTTATATGTTTCGAATATTATTTTGATAAATGTTTTATTGTCATTTGTTGTTAACTAAAGCTTCGTACGTCGATAATTTCAATTCATTCTACCAATTCTATCCAATCACTTAAAAAAATCATAATTATGAGGAAATGTTATTTCTGTTCAAAATAATTTTGACAAAGTTGTTTTTACAAAAGAATAAGTAATTACATAGTTTGAACGTAATTTATATAAATAAGTTTTACAGGGTACTAGGAGCTGTAGTAGTTTTGCTTTGATTTCGACTTTTTCAAAATTTAGTTCACCTAGTATAAACCTTTTACTCTGTTTTATTGCATTATTTTGACCTCCAGTAATTAAGATTATTGGGGTCAAAATAATGTACAAAAACACATAGAGTAGTAAAATATAATCTTAATTATTGTGGTCAATAGAAGGTTATCTATTACAGTAAATATGCTAATCTTTTTTGTTATCGTCAGGAAAATTAGCTTCACTTATTAACCAGTATTTTATTTAAACATTTCATACTACATATAATGTTGATAATAACAACTGGCATGCGTAAAATAATCGCAGAAAAATTTGTTGCTAAATTATTTTATAAAAATAATAAAAAAAATGAATGTTATAATTAAAACAAGGTAAAATACTAAATATCAAAACCTTCTACAAGTCTACTGGCTTCAGTTTATTCGAAGTAAGCATAAAGTTTTCGACCGTATTGAAACAGTCTGGCTTTAAAAAACAATTTGGCTTAAAACGGGCCGACACGGATTAAAAGGCACGTCCAAGTGATGTGCACGCACTTCGACCGATGGAGCAATAAACTAAGAAAGGCCCACCACAGTTTTGCTTAGTTAGCACCGTATAGACCTCTCTGTCCCCTGTTCCTCATATTTCCCCTTCGATATGAGCTGGTTTTGATACCTCCAGCCGAATGTGCTTAGTCGACCCCAAAGGCCCAACCCGAAACAGACTCTGCATTCTCTCATTAAATTTTAACCTGAAATGAATTTTTAATCCGTTGTTTCCCTGAATTAAGTCCATCCCGGACCACGCCGATACCACCGGCTATCACGCCAGGACCGTCAACAAACCTTACGCGACGTCCGCCAGCTCAGCAATCTTCCAGTCAAATCGCTAACGACGAATTTTCTCTGATATCTTCCGCCGAGAGTGTGTTCGTATCATCGTTTTCGTTAGTGTTTCTTTACGGAGCGTCTAAAATTGTTAAAGTTGCAGGCAAGACACCGTGAGATCTACGGTAAGCCGGTGGCTGGACACGACCGGACTAGGCCAAGATGCAGAAACGTCTTCCGGCAATGCAACCGGCTACACTAGACGGACCAATCCGAGCGTAATGAACGCCCTGCTCAATGCAAATTCTAATGTTCCTCCGCCACCATATCCAAGGTAAAGCCGTAGATTTTAACTCAACATGACTAATGAACAAACATTGGTAACCTTTGTCTCAATAGTATCTCTTCTCATTCTTTCAAGGGCAAAACAGAATCTTATTGGCTAAAATCACCAAAATTGGACCAATTTTATCGTAAATTTAATGAGATTTGTTCGAAAAACTGATTAAATAAATATTTGGTGGCTAACAGCAAGTCAGCTAAAAAAATATAAAAAATCTTCTGGATTAAAAAATTTAAATTCTTCTGTTTTGTAAAATTCCAAAAATACTAATAGTTTGTAAAAATTAAAGTAAATACATTCGACCTAGTCTAGCAAGTATATGTGAATAATATGTATTACGCACTGACTAAAACACGCATTCACAACACACATAAACCCAACCAAAAGCAAGCGAAATGTACCTAACCAGTATCACTCAATGTTGATCGGCCTAAAATCTATCACGTTATTCCAAAAATATGACTATATAGTAGTAAATATGACGTACAGAAGGCGGGGTTATGAATGTCACCGGATATGTCAATTTCTCTGAGCCCGGCCACCAATAGTTTTGTAGGAACCAGGGCATTTTTTATTGTATATAAATAATTTTGTGCTAACTTTTGTATGTTTTGAGATAGAATGTACTTAATAGAGTGAATGTGTAGTATGAGAATGAAAATGATATCTCACTATGCTTAACTTCTTATATTAATGCAATATATATCATTGTTTGTTGCATCCTCTCATGAAGTTACAAATTTTGCACAAATAAACAAACATTCTTGCCGAAAGCGTAATCCCTATTTTTAACGCCGAGTAATTTTTTAAATCTACAACACACTTAATACTAAAACAACACTAAAAAATTTAAATTACAGATTGTTTGAACTATTTCTCACCCGTAATAAAAAGATGGTCGCAATAGTAATACAATACAAAGTGATTCTGTTTAAATTTACTACGTGAGTTTTTGTAAGAAGGATATTTTCAGGGATTCTGGGTCATTTTCCGGTGGCCGATTGTTGCAACAAAGACAAATAAATCCAAGTCTCTTCAACCAGAGTAACTATACAAACGAAAGGTATGCGTTGCTTTATACATTTTTTCTCTTTTTTTTAAGTTATTTACTTTTTAGTAGGCCTCTTTTTGCAAGCGAGCAGGAAAGTATTAATCATGGCGCATGGTGGACCAATACGAGGTACAAGTACAACTATTTGATATGTCTTGCATGAGTGGTCACTGAGTGCTCTTTGATGATTAGCGCAACACAGGATGCTACTTTTGCTGAGTTGGCTCCAGTAACTGGCTGGCAAAGTTTTTCAAGTTACCAAGCGCCTCGTGGAAGATTCCATCAAACGAGTTGGCAGACTCCTCTTCAGCATCAACCTGCTTGGCAGGCGCAGCCGCAATGGTCGGCAGCTCAATTGGCTCAGCAGTGTCAGATGTTTCAGCAGATAAGGTTAGTAAGCGAGAAAAGAAATAAAGGAAAGAGTACATTTAGGGGGTATTTTTTATTTTTTTTTAAATGTATAGACAATTACTCGTCGGCAAAATTCTTTGGCTTTTAATCTGGGCCTCGAATTCTGCGGCATATTTTGTTAGAGGGCAGCAGCCGGTCCGGATAGCCCTCCCCAAAGCCTTAGGGGTGTGGTCGGACCCAGTCACAAAAATATTTAAATGCTTTTTAGAAAACACGTTTTTTTTAAATTTCCACATTTCTACAGCCACACATATATAACGTATCTTCAACAACAGCAATTAGTGCAACATCATATGCAGCATCATCAAATAGGTGCATCCAGTTTTCCCTCGTCGCCAACATCTTCACAGCCAGCTGGGGGCAGGTATTTTCTTAAGCATATTTCAAATGAATTAGATTTTTAAGAATACTGTCTCTACAGTTATCTAACATACATGCAGCAGCAGCAAACGCAGCAGATTCAAATACAACAGCAAGTTCAACAGGGCCCGGTAACTTTCTCACCGTCCTCCACGTCAGTTTCACATACTAACAGGTGATGGCAGACTTATCGGTATATATTTTGTTTGAAGCAGTAATTTTTTTAGCGTGTTTCAACCAACAACACAGCATCCGGAGCAGGTCCAATTTACGCAGCAGAACTCAGGGTACGTTCAAAAACGTTTATATAAATCACCAGGAATTTTAAATTCATTTATTTACAGGGCGTCGTTCAGTTTCGATTGGAATCAGAGCCAATCTCAGTCTAGGTAAACCGATAGCAGTTAAATTTTCTCTCATTAATGTTTATTCATTTATTTTTTAGGGACAGCCTCGAACATCATGCTGATTTAGCCCCCTCCATGGATCGTTTAAGCAAGGCAGCAAGGTGAAATGGAATGAAATTACGCCATTTTTAATTTTTCGAGTTGTATTGTTTTTGTTGGAACCTCTTTCGAGTCGCTTGGTAGATTTGTTTAAATTTTTCCAACTTTTTTTAATTCTATTTATTTTTTAAAGTAAATTTTGTTTATGGTATCAGACGATCCTTATCACTTAATATCTACAAGTTATAATTCGCTATTTTTAACTTAATATATCACGATATAAACCGACCACTTTTGCTTTTATAGTAGTACCATCGTTGTCAATGGCCAATTTTGAAGTTCCTAAATAGCATAAAAAGGCGTTGTAAGGAAAAAATGCATCAAATGCATGTCTGACTGCAGACTCCTAAGAAATTGTCAGAGAAGCTCTCACGAATCAAGAGTACTCAAACACATAATTACTATAAATCATTATAATTTATTGTATTTTTACGTTTATATTGTGTAACTTTGTTTCCAACGTTCAAACGTTTGGCCAAGATTGCTAACAACAGTAGTGTTAATGTCTAATATCACGTCGAACTCATGATAAATCGTAATTCCTCTAAAATATTCGAAATCATTTATATATGTAAACACGAAGTAATTTCCTAGTTAATGTTTAAAAGTTCAACTTATACTGAACATGCTTGAGTTGAAAATCAAACAGCCCGTCGTGTTCTTACCGTTTTTGTCAGGATAACGACTATTAGGAAGTCATTTTTGTAAATCAACGTATGAATGAAAATTTCATATATATATATATATATATATATATATATATATAAATTTGAATCTAGACACTTAAGGATAAGTGAACAATTAATAATATTTTAGGGTCAGAGGGCAAACACCGTCTGACCATCGTGAGATAGATACGGCAGTTCCTGCGCCAAGTGAATTTATGTAAGTACAGGACAACATTGACAATATTTGGGTTTTGCTAATTATTGTTTTTTTAAATTGATTTTTTAGATTAACCTTACCTCCTCCCAAGCTTGAAACTCAGGATGTAGGTACTGACAACAGGTAAGTTACTTTCTTAAATTATTTATTAAAATGTTGGTGATCGTTTGTAATAATTTATAATGGTATTTTTCTCCAAGGTACACAACTTTCAAATCCGATGCAACAAACTGTACCGATATGGGCTTGTATGTTATAGAAATATAAACATATCAGATTTCAAGTTTGTAATTTACTATTAAAAATTTTTTAATTTAGGGGGGATTTACTCCAACATTCTACACCGTCTGCAGGTGGTACAAGGTAAGTTTTTTTAAATTATAATAAATTGTGAAACATGTAATTGTATTGCAGTGTTAGGAATCAGACTCCTCCTCCTACAGTCGATGAATTGACACCTACATTGGATATTAGGTAAACCTTGAAAAAAGCCTCAGCCTAATTATTGTTTAATTAATCTGATTAGAATGTTTTCATTAGAAAAAAGGAAATACTGGTATCGCCGGGTGAGCCCCAACATCAAAATTCCTTTTTTAATAGGTAAGTTAAATTCATTAAATTCAGTGCCACTCTCAACACGACACACAAGAATGACACATCTACGCGGAAAACAAACCCTTTGAGCCCTGAAGATGATCTCTATAAAGAAACCTAAACGTTGGCACGATTAAGAAATTTTTTTTCTAAAACCCACGTCACACCAGCCCGCATCTCACAATCTCCCAATAATCATTAAATAACGGTCACTAAACACCACACGTTAAATTCATTTAAAAATTATATTTCCTTTATCACATTTTACATAAATTATAGCGAACTTTGTTTCACTTGAGATGTTTATGGGTTTTTTTTGTACAGCTCCAACAACGTACAACATGGCAGCAGTCAGAACAAATTGAACACTTTTTCCAGCAGGTAAAAGAACGAACTTACTACATTATTATTTCTAGTTTTTTGAAATAATGCGCTTCTTACAGCACAAACAGATCTTGGCAAAACGAGTCACAGCAACTCCGGCTCTCTTCTTTTTCGAGGTAATTAGTTTTATTTTGAATTTAATAATATGTATTTGCTGAAAAATCTCCCAGTTCGAAGCAGTATCAACAGAATGGTGTCCAGCAACCTTTGCATATCATAAGGTAGACTTGAAAAAATATATTAGTAATTTTAATTTTAATTTTCAATTTTTTTAGTTTTACACAGGGCCAAATGTCTCATCAAGAGACCCCGTTACTATTTACGTACGCAATCACAATACATTATTTATAATGCTTCTTATAAAGCTGACCAAATGTATTGTTTTTTTTGTTGTGAAAAATATTTCACAGCATTGAAAATATTTTAAATTAGAAATCCCTGAAACAAAAACAAAAGAAGCAACTCTACATATTTAAAGAATATTTTTATAAGAGTTAATTGAACAACTAAAAATATAAAACAAGCAAATTGAACGGACATGGCATCAATAATTTTTAGACATGCTTGAGAAAATTTTTTATCCAGTAGAGCAATGTTTTATAATAATATTTAATATACTGCATTTTGTTCAATTCTGGGATCAAATTTCTATTCATTTATTATTATTATTATTGTTGTTGTTGTTGTTGTTACAGTCTAAACAAAATTAAGCTAGAAAACCCACATCATTTGCAGTTTTCACAATTGGATAGCAGGTAACTGTTATTTTGTGATTTTACTTTATTTAAACTATTAAAAACTACTTTCAGCTTAAAAGTCATTATATGTTTTAATATATAGAAAACAATGTTGTTTATGTTATAAAGTTTTTGTTCTTTGGCAACTTAATATGTAATTTTTTCTGAACTTTTTGGTGATACTTTGCGGCTATAACTTTTTTCGCAGTAGGTTAAGTCTAAGGTAATCTACCATCAACGCACTTCACGCACATGAGAAATGGTAAATACTGCTAAGCATTTTAACGATAATTTTGAAAATGCTAAAAGTAAATTTAAAAAAATACTTCTGAAAATGAAATTCATGCTGAGGAATGAAGTTCTTAAGTGTGTCAGGCATCCATGAACATTTAATTAATACCTATGTCATTTATAGTGATTTCTATATAAATTACAAAGGATGTTTTTTCATTTACAGTCAAATAAAGCAAGAAAGTTCACACCACTTGCATCTGTCACCTTATCAAAACAGGTTTGCAAACAATTTTTAATTTGATAGTTACCTAGTTATTATAATTATTTGTTAATAAATTACAGTATTCTTTTTTTAAAAATTTGGCGTAATTTTTCTATAGTCATTATGGTCATAGATAAATATTTATTAATTTCCAGTAAACGCTATTTATTTATATATATATTAGATTCTCCACAAAAAAAATTATATTTCCACGTATATAACTTAATAATAAACACTCAATCATATCAATGATAAGTTTAAAGTTGTAAATTCGTATTTATTTCCATAGTTATTTCTTTGTTACTCATTATCTATCTATCAAGCGATCTCTCTCTCACTCTCTCTCTCTCTCACTCTCTCTCTGTCTCTCTCTCCCTCTCCCTCTCCCTCTCACTCACCCTCTCTTTCTCTGAGTCTCTTCCTTAGCTCTATAAATCTATCCATCTCTTCTCCTACTCAGTCTTCTCCCAGAGCTCTCTCTCTCTCCCTCTCTCTCCCTCCCTCTCTCTCTCACTCACTCTCTCTCTCTCTCTGCCTCCCTCCCTCCCTCCCTCACTCCCTCCCGCACCTCCAACTCACTCACACTCTCCCTCTCCCTCTCCATCTCCTTCTTCCTCACCCTTCCCCACTCCCCCTCATCTTATCTTCTCTCTATTTCTCTCGCTATTCTTCTCCCTCTCTCCTTCCCTGTTTCTCAGTCTATCTTTATCTCTATATCCTTTTCTGCTCTGTCTATTTCTATCTACTACCTATTTTACTCGATCTGTCTACACTCCATTCTCCTCCTCTTTCTATTTATCTATCTATACATTTTTCTATCTAACGATGATCATTAATGATTTTTGACAACATTTCTTACTGGCTCTGTATTGACCAGACCGTGTCCTTTGTAATACAAAACACTTAATCGTTTGATGGATTATATATCCTAGTTATTTTGACTTTTAGCAGTAGGAATGCTCAACAGTTGCGCAAATTTCAAGGATATCAACAAGATCTACCGTATCAAAGCGGCCAAAATTCGTATTTCATCAGGTGCGTTTTGCTCACCTACTTTCTTTTAAATTTATTTAGTTATTATTTATATTTATTTTTTAAGTAAACGATCTTATTTGGCAGGAACGCTCACAAGCGGCCCGCCCTGTTGCCCAATCCTCCAGTCGAGCAGAGGGTCGATTTCGTCTCCCTTGAAAACGCCAACCTAAGCGTGCCGCCACCCCAGCTTTTGATCCCTCTACCAGGGATGCAGTATCCTGCGGTGCCGACGAGAGGGCGGACGCCCGCGAAAAGGGGACGCGGCAGCAGGGGTGGCCGCGGAAGAAATACATCCAGAGTCGTCGACACCATCGTTATCGATAGTGACGACGACAAAAGGTCATAACCATTAAATAAACATTAAAAATGAAAGAAAAAGAAAAATTGAATTACTTGTTATCCAAATTTCTCAACTGATTTACAGCCCACCGAAAAAAGGAAAAGGGTCGAGAGGAAGATACTCCAAAAGGTACTTAAATGTATTACTAAATATTTATAAACAAAAATTCCTACATTTCTTAATTGCTAGTCATTTATGCTAAGAAACTTTTTTATCAGACAAATCCGAGACTCCCAGTCCAATTTAAGGGGACACAACTATGTATATTACACTGATAAGAAGTAAGCTGATTTTTTCGATATACTTGTGTAGTTTATAACAGTTTAGTTTACACAAAGTTCATTGGATTTGACTAATTCTGTTATATGCTATGTATTATGATTTAATGAATGCATATAATGTCACCTAAATGTTATATTTTTAAGTTTCACCCGGCCTAATCCACCCAGTTATCAGGAGGCAACTCGGCGAAGCTCTGCTTACATGTTAGTTAAAAAGAAATAACAACAGATTTATTATTTACTTAATATAAACTGCTTAAAATATGCTTTTAGGCAAAATGAAACACCAGATTACCTTAAACTTTTATCAGCAGCTCCTCCCGAAGAAAGGTTAGTACTTCTTCTTCTTTTAATCCAAGAGCTACTTAGTTTTCCTTTTTTATAGTTTTACTTACTTTTACTTTATTAAATTTGTCTAATCAAACAAATTACCTATTTTAGCAGCATTTCAAAATGAAGCCAGGGTAAGTACAACTGAAGACGAATTTTCCAGCAGTGTTAAACGATTCGAAATTATATTCCATTTTATTTTCACGTTTGACTTTATCATAAAATGAAAATTACAACAAATAAGTACAAATATACCTAAAAGATTTATAGAATAGTAGAATGGTTGGTTCGCTTTATTTGACTTTCATCATTTTTTTAAATAATCTACAAAAATACACGACTGATAAACAAAGACCATTTAAATATTGTAATAGTATAATTATCCAGAAATAGCACTAAATATTAGTGCTAAGATGATTCAGGACCACCAAGGTCCACAATGCATCACTCAAAAATTTAATATCTTACTCGCAAACTAGTTCGCATTGATTTGTAGAAATTCGTCGATTTGAATCGCTTGCTTCAACTTTAGGTTAACTTAGGTTAGGTTTTAAATATAAAAATATTCATTTGATCAGTATTACATGAAACTTACTTATAATTATTACAGCATATTATTTGTTTTCTTATTTATATTCAAATAGCGAAATATCCCCAAAAAACAACATCAAGATCAGGAAAACATGACTAAAGTAAGCTTTTCAAAATAATCGACCCATTGAATAAGAAACATACATGCCAACAACAAAAAGTGTTCCATAGAAATTCTAAAAACTTGATGAATCGAAGATACATTTATTGTTAGTAAAAGAAATGAAAACTACATCAAGGTCAATCAGTCATTCAAACACGAAGAAAAAATAACTGGTGGCAAGTAAATATAAATTAACAAACTAGAATATACAACAACTCTATTCAGATCAACAGGCAAACTAGTAAACCAAATCTCTTTAACCAAAAAATTATCCTCTACAAAGAAATTAAACTACAATCCTACATACACTCTATGTACAGAATTTATCAAAACGAAAATCTCACACATTAAAAAAGTAATAAAAGAGTTACAAACAGAGAATAACTAACCAACTAGTGTAATGTCACCTATTTGAAGTATAACAATCAATGAACATATAAAATACTTGTGATACTTAAATACTTTATAAAAAAAATATTTTTGCTTTATATAACTTGTTTAGCGATATATAACAGATTGCTTTAAAATTACATTGGTTATAATAAATTAACAAGAAAATGAAGACATAATGAAGAAAGAAATGGAGAAAATAAAACAAGAAGATTTTTCTATTTTGAAGCTTTATGGAAACGAGAGTAAAGATGAATGCACTAACATAAAAAGTTATACTTTATTTTGTAAATTCTTTCAAATAATTTGAGCAAAGATATTTTTCGAATACACATATTTTTTTTACTCTTACACAGTTCCTCAATAAGCTCTCTGCGTAATAATGTTAACTCATCAGTAGTGATGTCTGACTCCTTCTATATCGTTAAAAAGCCATAAATTATAACCCAGAGAAAACGATAAAACCTAAATTGAGTCTGAATTTTAAACACATTGCTGCTGGGTTTAAATCAGAATTATAATCAAGGCTTAAAATGTTAAAAATTCACGGAGTCAGACTAGCAAAACTCAGTACTGCTAACAAAAATTGATATTTTTTCTTGACATGAAGAATCAAGCGTGCAAGATTTTGCGCAATCAAGAGAGTTAGAAAAGGTAAATGAATTTACACAATTTTTTGTTACTTTCAGTTTATTTATATAGGCAACTAATTTGGTTCAAAATGAAAATAGATCATGTTAAATTTAGCATCAAATGTATTAATTAATTTAATTATCGTTAATGATTTTTAGCATGGCTGCAAGAAGTGGTACAAACACGGCTGATTTCTTGTACGTATTCATGGATTATTTTCTATTACTTAATATATTTTTACGTTTCATGTACAAACAAACAATAACAACGTGTACTTGATTATGTATAAGAACTCAATAATTTGGCTATTAATTATACTATAGCGTTATAGTTATTTGTAAGTTATTAATGTCCCTTTTGTCTACAGTAAATTTGGAAGACTAGGATCAAGTTTGGATTATAAGTAAGTTATGAAGTGAAATTTAAATCTTATATATACACGACCTTACTTTAAATATAAAACTAATTATAATTCAAATAATTATTTTTCAAACCAAGAGACAGTTGAATATATTAATAATAGTAATATTCATTGTAACAGAAATTTAAGCTTTTATGAACAATGTAGGCAATTTAGAAATATTACAGATCAGCTTTTTCTTCATGCTATAATATAATAAAATAAATCGTCTAAAATTGTATATAATATGTAGGAAAACAATTTAAAATATTTTTAAAAAAGCATGTTTATGAACATAAAGAACCGGATCTAGCTTAGCACATAGCCTTGGTGGAACTTCAATTTATGTATCCATGTGCAATCAGTACAATAGATTATACTCCGTTTGTCCAAAATGTATTTATATGTATTTGAGAATTACTTTTTGCTTAGCTTTTTTATCTTTAACAGATGCTTTTGTAAAATTATTTTTATTTTATTATTGCCGAGTATTGCTTCTTTAAAAATTCTATATTTTGCGATGATTGATTTTTTCGTAACTTAATGTTTTCTTAAACGAGTTAAAGAATTAAACGAGTTAAACAAATGGATCACTCCTTCCCCTTAACACTTCAACCTTTAATAACAATATAATTAATAGTCAAACTTGTTTTAAGGGACTCCAAGCCAAGCAGAGGGCGGCTGAACAGGTAATACTTTACGTATTTTAGCAAAAAGTATTCCCAATAATAAGTTTTACTATGAAATTCAGGACAAGAGGTGCGTTTCGTCTACAAATGGAAGCAAGGTGATTATTTAGAAATGTGTACATTTTTTTATTTATTGCTTTTTAAGATAATCTTAAAATAATTTATCCTAGATCAAATATAAATATAGAACCGCAGTAAGTCTTAAAAATTGTTATTTACCACTGGAAAATACTATTGTTTGTTTCATACAAGGTTTTCCGGGTCAACAATAACTCCGGGGATTCCAACTTTTAGGTAAGGATTGCAATAATTTCTTTATTTGTTTAATAAACTTTTCTAATTAGAATTTTTTGTCGGTTTCAAGCTCAAACTTAATTGAAATTCCTACACAACACTCGGAGTCGAGTTCGAGGTTAGAACCAAAGCCATAATTTTAATTACTTCTCTACAAGTCAGGTTTACCCTTTCAGCAACACGATTTTATTAGGCTTTTGCTGAACGACTTCCTATTAATAACAAAATTAGTTAAGTTAGTTAATAAGCAGAGTGGGAGGAATAGTGATAATGAAATAGGTAGTATAGAGGGATGGTTATGTATTTATAAATATATTATGATATAAACATAATAAGAAATAGTGGAGAGAGAAAGAGAGAAAGAGAGAGACGGAGAGAGAGAGAGGGGGGGATTGATCGCATTTTATTTAGCCAAACAACACTTGATCTCCTGAAACTCTCTTAAATCCAACGTGGGTTATAATTTATCATATAAATTTGATGCCTTAAAAAATTAAATAATATGCTTTATGTAGCTATAAAAATTATCGATGAGGCTCGTATGGTAAATTGCACTGTGATTACAGAAAATATCATTTACAATCGGATTGCAAACTAAAACACAATAAAAACCCAATAATATCAAACAAATAATAGAGAGAAAGATTACAATTGCAATTAAAGAGAATGAAGAAAAAGCATGACGAACTAGATTAATTGTAAGTAAAATAAGTAATGTATTCCACTTTTCATAACATTTGAAGTAATTATTTTTGAGGTTTACTTTGAATGTATTAATTTTTTCCGTTTGTTTAATTTCTTTTAGTAATTTATTAAACGATTCAGCAATATCAGTAAGAAAAGAGTTTTTATATGATTTGTTCCGCATATTATATTGGTATGCTTACATTTTGTGCATTTTATTCCTAGTTTCCGATTAATAACTTAGTAAATCTACATCTATTTTAAGTTAATTATTGAGTTAAATAATTAACCATAGATACACATTAACGGTGTGCTGTTTTAAAATTGTTAATACAATCTATTTTAGTTCTAACGTCCCAAGCGGCCGAAGAGGATCTTGTGAAAAACTGTTAGTAAAAATCATTATTGAAAGCATGAACATATTAATTAACTTTTGTCACCAAAAACTTTCAGATTGAATATGGATAAAATCAAACATGAGGAACTGTGAGTAACATTCAACTAAATTGTAACGTTTAATTTGTACCTTTGTACAAAAATTTATTATTTGAATTTTTTTACCTTTCTAATGTAGTCAGAATTTCTGTGGACAAAGAGTTTTTTTTTTTTTTTTTTTTTTTTTTTCAGGCTACCTTCAGACAAAATAAAACAAGAAAAGATGTAAGTTTGTATATTATATTTTTGTTTAATAAAATTTCGAAATATACAATGAAGAATAATAATATAGTAATAAAAAAAATTAAATCCAACTTCTTTGATTTAGGTTGTCAATTAAAGAAATTAAGAAAGAAAATGTGTATGTATTTATAATTTAAAACAGTTTTATTTATTTTAGAATCTAAACTTTGCATTTATCTTTTGCAGTCTGTCAGCGGACAAGAAGCTAGAGAAATTGTAAGTACAGTAATGACAAGATAAATAAATCTCATGTATAGATGTCAGACAAACATTGAGGGGAGGGAGAAGAAAAGTTATAACCCATAAATGTGTGGTGATTAATGACCGTTAGTCGATGATAACTTAGTAATGAGTTATTCTGAAGATGATTTCAATAAAGATCGAAACGTTGGCACGATAAAGAAAATGTTTTTCTAAAACCTACGTCACACCAGACCGCATCTCACGATCTCCGAAAAATCATAGCACATAAATTTCGACAGCCATTTCAAGTGGGGAACGGACAGGGATACCCACGTGAAACTGTCTGACTCATTGTTGTGCTCAATCTTGTTTTATGGATACAAAGGCCACCCTGCAGCCCGAAAAACGGGCCTGCAGAAGTACGATATCTTCAACTAAAAAGGCTTTCGAGCGGACTCAAGCGCGTTTAGAACAAGCCCTTTGCCCAGCCTGTGCTACTAGCTCGATGTGCTGCTAGTAAAATCCCCCTAAAATCGGAGAGAACTTCTTAGCATCAGCTATGCGGCAGGGTTCTGGGCAAACAGAAACATCAGGTTTCGGGTGCGATCCTCAGTTACCAGTATTACAACAGAATATTCGAGTGACTTCAGTATAGGGCGCAACCCCTAGGAATTCGCTTACGACAAGACTTAGGGGATGTCACTGGGAATTGTACTCGAGCTGGGCAACCGGCACCCGGGGTGCTCCGAGCAGTACTCGTACGGAACGATTTTCCTTTATTAGCCATATTTTTAATCGGTAAGTTCTTGAAACTTAGATAGAGGTTGGCCGGTCTTCACTCTTGTCTTTATAGACGGTCTAAGACGGGCGAGAGTGCCCTCGGAAGACCTGACCTGCAGAACAATGGTCATCCACACCCAATTATCGATAGGCCCTGCGAGGAAAACCCACGAACACTTACTTTTGGGCCAAAGCCCGTGTATGAGAATGGCATTTAGAGCAAAGTTGCTTGTGTGATGATGTGTCTCACTTAATTGAAGCGTCGTTGGCTCAATACAAAGAGCGCGTACGAATGCATTTAGTACATCTTCATCCCTCAATTAGGTTAATTATTTAATAGGTGAAAATGGTTATGGAGTAATATTTAGCACCAGTAATAGTAGTATTACACCCTAACTAAATGAATGGTATACACATAAAAAATAATGTATGTAAGAATGCGAATGGATTTGGATTTAGGAACTATTGCGTTGTGGCTGAAATGACCTAGATGTTCATAGCCCCTTGAGCCCAAACTCCGTGGCTAAATGGATAAGACCGAGATCCGACCCCCGACTGCCAAAATGCAGGAAGGATGATTCTCTTGGCCAACCGGTAATTTATTGGAAACTAAAAAACCTGGAATTATTGGTGGACAGGTTCAATTCTTGCATGCGTATACGTATGTACACGCATGCCCAGGTGTGAGATATATATAACTCTTTAATCAGTTATCTAACATTCAATTTGATGATGGCAGCATTTGTTCCTTTTACTTTTATAATTTTGTATATGATAAATATATTGTTTTAGATTGGATACGTTCTTTATAAAAAGAGAAGTCACGTAAGTTAAAACTGAACTTTAAACTTAAGATAAATTATTAACTATAAATTTTTGCTTTTCTACAGTTCACCTACGGAGATGAACCTAGTAGAACAGATAAATACGTAAGTTGTATAATTGTTTTAGTTATTAATTTTTCATGGCTTGACTGATTTAAAAAAAGTTCTTTTATAAGCGACTTACCCGAATTAAGAGAAATGACCGACTTGTGAGTATTATTAAAATTTAATGTAATTTTTTTATACTTTGTGTTATTGTTATTATACAGGCACACCCTTGATTTAAACACCCAGACTTCTCGTAAACAGTAAGTGGTATAAGTAAATTTGCATACGTTATCTCATTGAATTTGTTTTTTAGAATTGACCATGGATGCTCGTCTTCAAGTTTAAGGTACTAGAATTCAAGTTTAATTTGCACAGTATAAACTGCAACTAATGGCATGAACATTTACTATAAATATTTTCAAATCCCTGCAAAATGTGTAAATACATGTATTTTTTTACAGATTTCTACCTATTAAAATAAAAGTGGAGCCTCAAAGCGAGTAAGTAGAAATTTACGAATCGTTTAAATATATATACAAATTTCTTGTTAGAACCAGAGTTTCGAATAATCATACTTTCCGTTAAAATGCATGCTCAATGCACGTGCATAGCTTATCGACCGAACGACAGAACTCTTTGAGAAATTAAAAAAAAATAATGATAGTTATTCGGTGGATTGTGATGGATGTGTGGTACTTCTTTACCTTTTTGCTTCTGACCTGCAGGAAAAAGCGCGAATTTCAAATTAATCACTTTTCCAACGGTTTTGACGAAAATTTGGGTTGCAGCTTTGACTCCGCTCTCAACCAGTGGTTCATCGACAACCAAGTGGCCAGTCCAAAACAACCAGAAAGTGAACGGGAAGACCAGGACAAAACGCCAAAATGGGACATCGACTGAAATCGTGATGAAGGTTTCGGTTGCATCACTAAATCGTAAAGTTCCTAAGATTTGTTGTCGCATTATTATTATTATTGCTACAGTTGTAAAAGGTATACTATAAGATCTAAACAAGAAGGGCGATTACATAAACCAGTTTGCTTGTATGCTTTGAGTTAATTTTTATATATTTATAAGTAAATATTACATAAAGGTATAGTTTTGTACCTTTCAATTTGGTTTAATTAAATATTACATACTTATAGTTTTTGTGATGTTATATTTATATTTTATACAATAGCTTTTGATATGATGGTGACCATTTATATACTACCATACATAGCATTTTATAATATTTTATTGTCAATTATATATTATTTCCTATTATACAACATTGGTAATTCATAAATATATATTAACTTAAACAAATATTTTAAAAACAAACATTAATTGTGCTCAGAAGGATGACAGTAATAATTATTATAAAACACAAATGGTTTATATTTTACATATTAATAATATCATTAAAAGTGTATCGTTACATGTAAAAGAAATAATAAAAAAAAGAAATAATAGTAAAAAAAACTATCTGAATATATATTTTTTGAAATTATTTTATTTTGATCCTACACAATGGTGCACGTATCGTTAAGTTACAACAGAAAGATTGTGACCAAAAACTGTTATATCACAAATGTGATTACAAAATGTTTTTTTCACACTGTCACAGCACTACCAGTAATGTCAGCGCTGCACCCGGAGGATTTGTGGGTTTTTGTGATGGGAATGTGTAGAGAAAGTTTGGGCAGTAGGATTAGGATTGATCGAGGGGATAGTTCGTAACTTTTGGAGTGGGGAACGAATCAATTCTTTGACAAAAGAATATCGAGGTCGTTGTGGATTGTGCTGTCCATCACTCCATCCCCTCGATCCATCCTAATCCTACTGCCCAAACATTCTCTACACATTCCCATCACGAGAACCCGCAAATCCTCCGAGTGCAGCGCTGACATTACTAGTAGTGCTGTGACAGTGTGAAAAAACATTTTGTAATCACTTTGTAATGTAACAGTGGTGCAATGGGTTTGATGGGTTTTCAGGATAAGGTAATATGGAGGTCGAAAACGTTTAAGTTTATAAACCATGCCCGGGAGCCAGAACTTATCAAAAGCCTGTAGCACCCAAGCAATACCCCTTAATCAGTAGCAGAGGATATAGTGTCGACAACTCTGAAATCTTGTTGGATCGTGAAATGATGAGGACGGAAACAGAATTGATGAGAAGGAATTCTATGAGTATCGTGGCTTATGGTATTAAGCGTTTAAAAAAACAACCTTTCATGTATTTTGAACATAGAAGGAAGAAGGATGATGGGCCAGTAAAAAAGATATTTATTTATTTTTGGTAGATGGATTCAATCTTTAAACGCTGTAATTGCGATTATGACAAAATGTAAATAAAGCATTGGTTAGGAAATTCATTCAGTTATGATTTAACAGATGAAGTAAATATTAATAATTTAGATGTACGTGATGTAAAATTATTTAAATTGCTCGTATGATACGATTATGTAGTGTTTATTAGTGCTTTATTTTTACCTAACAGTGTATACAAATAGGCAATTATACACATTGGACGACCACATGAGATCGCATTTTTGATAAAGAAAACGATCGTTTTATATTTTATCGTTGATGGTATTATTTACTATTATCTTATAAACAAATTGTATAAACATATTTCTATTACTCAAATTTAACATTTCTTTTTAAATTAATTACAGGCTATAATGAAGCATTATTGTGATGTAGGGCAGGGGTGATACATTGGAAAAAAACAATAATTTATGGACCGGATAGGGACGGAAATACAAATATCAATAATCAATATGTCGCTCATAATTTATCGTTCAGCCAAACATCGTTCTTTCGAAAAGGATTATGCAAGTACAAAGATTTAATTTAATTAATTAAAAGGTACTCCTTGGGTCATTTTAAAAGGGCATGATCAATTTCTGAACATGAAGATCAAGGAATTCAATGGTTCTAACAAAAGTTCAATCTTTCGAAAATTAATTACTGTAATGTTTATGACCAAAGTCTAAAGACCATTGTACCAAGAATGACGAGAAACTATTTTATCTTGTTTTAAATATATTAAAATTACTTAAAAAGAATAATTAATTGTCTTAACAGCCACTGAGTTAAAACCTCCTCACATCATGTCAATTTTGTCCTGTATGCATTTTTCATTATTTGCCAAATTGTAGATGGATAATTTCCAATAAAATTATCCACATTAAAAAGTTACATATATACCATTCGACCCTTCATTTATCTTTTTTTTACGAATTACTGATTTTGTTCAGCCCCATCAAAAACACCCTCCCGTAAGACAATCACTATTTCACCCCCTTCACAATAATACTTTACGAGTACCAATATAGCAGTCTGATACATATATAGATCAATGAGTCTCTCTCACTCTCTCTCTCTCTCTCTCTCTCTCTCTCTCTCTCTCTCTCTCTCTCTCTCTCTCTCTCTCTCTCTCTCTCTCTCTCTCNATATAAAACAAATACCTTGCACAGTCACGTTTCACTGAGCCGATCAAAAGGATTGTTGTTGTTGAGTCTGATAGATAAATATAACCTATACCAACGCTGCAATGTTAAGGTGTATGTGTAATGTTATAGTCCTTGTAAATGGCACATGTCAAATTGTGCGCTAGTTTGCTTAACAGTGTCTATAACCACGTCCCGAAGGAGGTTGTAGTTTTTATAATTATGCGATGAGACATCTTCCATCTTCCGAAGTGATTTCGTATAACGCAGATGTAGAAAATTCTAATAGTATCAGTACTTAAATTCTGGTTTGGGGAAAGTTTTTCCGACCAATGGTTTTCTGTAACATATTTGTTTGAATAAAAATTAATGGTAATGGGTAAATGTTGGGTAAAATTGATATTTACTAACTTGAATTTGTTAAATTTGATTACCACCTTTTTTTCTATTGTTGTCTCAATTTTTTTTTTTGCTATTTCTTCACTAACATTTTATCACGATCGTCTGATTTATGGCGATTATGGTATCTGTAGAAAATAACATAAATTTTGATACTTTCTTGCCTTGGTTTTATGTTAGAATATATATTATAATTGATTATGTTATATTTCAAGAGGATGACTGGTGCATCGATTCTTAATATATGCGGGAAGGTCATGTAACAAGGGGCCTTGCAGGTGTGGGAGACCAGATGCACCCTCTAATGATCACTGGCCGTTTCAACCGAGAGCTTAACGTTCCATAAAACAATCGGACGTTTAAAAATCGGCTTCGTCCGCCTTCGTTGTGAAGTGAAGCGTGGCAACCGACGGGCAATATGCCGGATCCACAGGCCCGTTATACGTTTTTGCGTGTGCTCGGGATGATCCCGAAGGATGGGAAAAACCGGTCGTCGACTGGTTCCTCACCCACCCACCGCATCAGACCTTATTGAATCCAAGATCTTTCCGGCTCCGCTGGAATTCAGAGCCGCGGGCCTTTTCGGCGCACGCCTCGTCCTACAACAGGGTCTAATTTTGGCATGCAAATTTATGTTGGCCTCGCGCCTATCATAGCGTCTTCTCCATCAAGTTGATCCTTTAACTAAGGCCAATTGACGCAACTGAAATATAAGAAGATTATAATGTATCAAAATTTTAGGAATATACTCAATCATTGAAATCTTGAAATAGTCAAAAATAAATCAATACTTTAAAAATCATCTATTGTAACTACCCATGGGATAATTGGACATAAAATCATAAGCAAATTTTTTGATTAATGTATACAGAGTAAGTGTTGTGGCCGTTCCGACTACCAACAATTGATTTTAACTTTTAATGACATACATTAAAATAGGTTTGGAAATATAGATTTTGGTTAGATAGATCAGTAAATCAATATGTAAAGAAGATACGGGAAATAATTGCTTACCCAATTCAGCATTGGTAATCGCACTGGGTTTGCCAACTTCGCAAACATATCCTGAGATTGGCATACAAATGTGCAGACGTTGAGGTCCGAAATAACACAAAACCTGCTTTAGAGAAAGGAAATAAATAAGATGTCACAAACATATCTAACAAAATTAAATTAGGTCAAATTATTTACGGACCCTTCCAATTGATATGAACATAAAAGTAAAAAGAAGAGATGTTTGAAAGAATAGAAAAACCTAATAAAACACTAATACAGGGGCCTATTATGGTATATAGGTGAATCTAAAATTAAACAAGACGTGGAGCCCAAGATTTGATCTTTACACTATCAATTTTCCAAGCTGCAATCCGTGCAATAGACCTCTTTGCAGAAGACATACAACCAAGCATCAATAAAAGCTTCAGATCCTCTACCTTCAACTCTAAGCAAATTGGAATGCCTTATATCCCTAAATCCTGGGAAAAAGATATCCGATAACTGTCATGTGATCGCCAGAACGTGAGGTCATTCAAACACCAAACATGCTGACGTACTAGCAAAAATAGAAGCAGCCCTTGCACACTATGTACAGGAACCGCAATTGGCGCCAAATGTTATAAGCGTAATTCAACATATGGATGGATAAACAATGATCCCACACTGGAGAAATTCGCCAGGAGCAAAACTATCAAAGAATTTCCTCAACATCTCAACCAGGAAAACAAAAATGTATTTACCTGTCCCTTTCAACAGACAGAAAAAAATATGAGAGTTATTTTGGTCCCTTTCCAAAAAAAAAGAAAAAAAAGATTGTTCACAAAAACCAAAAGTGTACCGGAATTCAGCATATAAAAGTGCGTCTTAATGCTGTTTAACTTTGGCACTGTACGAATTTGTAGAAACAAAATGAGCCATCATCTTGCTACAATTGCTTATAACCCAAACGCTGTGTCGTCAACTGTATTTCCTAGTTAATGGCAAATTTTTGGATTAATGTATACAGAGTAAGTGTTGTGGCCGTTCGGACTACCAACAATCGATTTTAACTTTTAATGTACAAAATAAGGTTCTCGTCTTCAAAACTTGTAGATATGGCCGAAATTTTAATTTAAATAGCCGACACAAATCAACAAATATTTCAAGGTACAATTTATCTCTTAAATCGATATATTTGTCTAGATGTTTCAACCATATTAAGTTATTTATTCCATTAATAACAATTAATATGATGGTACTTAAATTTATTAGCTCATTGTTGAATTTATGAATAACTTTGGATTTGTTTTCTGAAACCTATTTTTTAAGTTATAAATAATTTTAAACTATACTGTTTACATTGTTGTCACGATAAACAAACCTTGCTTAACTTAGCGTGATGAGAGCTATCAATGAGCGAAACTGGCCTGGCCCAAAGATAATAAAATGATAAA